CGATCCTCTGCCTTCACTCATGTGAGAACCGTGCCTATTATTGACACTCATTGGCTACCTAACGTGAATCCCCTTTTACTCGATGAAATCACTCCTCGCCTCAATTAGGTATAGAGTATCGATCTTTAGCATTAATTTGAAATGAATATTCCTAATACCAAATTATTAAAAATGTGATTGGGTTATCAATAGTAATTCTCTCATCTAGAATTAAATATTTGGGTTAAATGAACCCATCAAGTGGCCTCAGGGATAAAATGAAATGTCATTTTCTTTAGAGGTCTCTTGGGTTTGAGTAGCTACGTCTGCAAAGTGTTTGTATTGTCAATTGGTTAAGAAAATTTTAAATAAATACTACATTGTAATCACACCATACTAATAAAACAAATATTTAGGGTAAATGGTTGTATTTGAGGTTTTGGGTATTGATTAGGGATTCTATTATTGATTGTAGGATTTGATCGAGCACTGTCCATCTTGCCTACCTCACCCACTAGGGTACTCGATGTGAAATCGGGTAATCAAAAGGTCACTCTGATATCACTTGGCACGTAACCATTACTCTCTTCCCAAAAGACATTTATGATAGGATGTGCAACACTATTGTTGATAAAGTCCATGGCCTCTATTTTCCTTTTTGACATGAGATTCATGTCCTTCACCTCCCCAAGAAGTGACATTCTTCTTCACTCAATCTCGTGACATCATCATCACGAGCCATCATCTACCCTGTCTACCCTACCCATTGAGACACTCTGTGTAAACTCAGACTGTTAAAAGGTCATTATAATATCACTTGTTACAAAGTCATTATCCTCTACTCAAAAGACATGTCTAATAGGACGTGCAATGCTACCGCTTATAAATTTCAAGACCTCCATTTTCATTTTTGATGTAATGTATTAGACACATATATTTACAATTTAATTAATGTATTTTCTTATATTATCATATTTGAACTAATATTTTATGCTTAAATTAATGGTTAGGTTTATAAAATAGTATGATTGATACATCTTTAATACTATAACAGGATGATTGATACAACGATACAAAACTCGTCCCCTCTCTCTTTATCCATTGAATTTGATTCCGGAGCTAGTAAGGACATTAACTATCAGAACATAAAGTAGAAAATCTTAAACCACACGGCCACCAGATCTGAACTATAGGGATGCAAAACTGGTGTCACGTAGGATCGTTAAGCCCCGAAACCCACATGGGAACGCATTGATGTTTGAGCCTCACGTCAATAACATGTGCTCCCAGAGTGTCACGAATCACAATATTCTTTGTGTATGCATGGCCAATTGCCTGATGTAAACTACAATTGCTCTGCTCTTTTCCCACCTTTGACCTCACTGATTTTCTTTATTTCTTTTCTTGCTGAACAAACAGAGGTTAAAACACAATCTGCAAAGCTGACCTAAAAGTGAAGGAAATATAGTTTAAACAAGTGCATGTACATATCCTGCATTCTTGGGAAAACATCCTCTGAAGGAATAACATTACTTTCATGTAAAAGCTGCTGCTGCTGTGTGTGAAGAAATAAACAATAATTAACACCATGTGAAGGCCAAATGCAACTGGTTCATCTCATGTACTCATTTCTCTATACTAAACCCTTCGTCAGCAACATGAATTAAGTGACCTCAGTGGTTAAAGAGAGATATTATTTTTAAAGGTCCTGGGTTTGAACATCGAAATAGTTATTATTTTTAAAGGTCTTGGGTTTGAACATCACATTTATAGGAATGTTTGAACGGTTATTATCAAATAATTGAGAGTATTTCGAACATAAATTATCTTATAATCATCTCATACTAGTAAAAAAATGAAACTGCAACATCATTTGTGTCGTGTCTCTTATAATTACGACCCCAATAAAATTACATTCTCTTAAACAACCTGACAGACAACTTATTGATACAAGGAAAAATTTCTTAAAATTAAATTAGGGTTTTCCTTTTTAAGTAACTTAACTGTTTCTTTCCTAATTGTATGTGTTACTTAGCATGAAGAATGTGCTTTAGCTGTGGCAATGGATGAAGAGACAATATATATATATATATATATATATGAATAGTCTGAGGTGAGTATTTCTTTATAATCTTTTTACCCTGCAGACATAGATGCTCGAACCTGATACCTCAAGAGAAAACAACACTCCCTTTAATCATAGAGACCACTCAATGAATTAATAATTGCCATGATTTCTTGACTATGTTTTAAAAATAAGCTCTTTCATTGTACCAATAGATAACCAATGTTTTTAAAAGTAAAGCAAGTATTTGAGAAAATAGAGCAGTCCTTAGTACTCCCAGTTCAATCAAAATGATAATAAAACGACAATCAAGTCTTAATCATCCATGTGGTTCCCTCAATGATCATAGTGTTGTACCCATGATATACATATTTTTATCAATTTTAATTTTTCCTTTTTTCATTAATTAATGTTGTAAACACAATGGAATCCATGCGTCAATGGGGTTTGTTTATTCAAATAGGGTTTTTATATTTTTGCTCCCAGTGTAGGGTCTTTTTGAAAGCTACAAAGGAATATATTAAAAACAATGTCATATGATGTTGTACAAGTTGGCTTTAGTGAAGCATTTTTCAAAAAGATGGGTTTGGAACATTGGTTGTGTGTTCAAAATGATGGTGATGAGTTTTCAAAGTCTTCCAAAAGCAATTAATATACAGCTATATGATTCACAATAGAATTTGTTTGCTAAGACACACCAAAGCTTTAGCACTAGTTTCTCTTTTGCTTGATATTTGCTGCCCTTGTGTAATCAGGGATGAATCAAGGAGGTGACATAGTCGGTAGCTTCCACTGAAAAATTCAAATTCTAATCTAATTTATATTTGTTTTTATATTTTCTATTAATAATATGTTTTTGTCTTCTAAAATTTTATAAAATCGTCCCAGAGCATAAAATCTTCCTTTCGTTCTTCGTACAATCTTGGTATCATATGCCTTCCAAATATCCAAATATAAATCAGTTTTCAGGACCCAGATTTCAGAAAATCAAGCAATTTCCCATTTCACTGTATTATAATAGAAAACAGCAGCTCAAGCATGCATCCATGGTAATCTATGCCTTTCATTTGATGCCTGGAGATATAATTCTAGTACTAATGATAATATCTGAGATTTCAGTTAAGGTTTAAGGTGCTTTAAGTTCAATCAAAATCATCAAAATTTAAGGAATTTTAACTGATTTAATTTTATTATATCTTAGTTAAGGTTTGCGATATATAATGAAGACTATTACCATAATAATTGTTATAAGATAATAGTAAGTTTATTGATCGCAAATAAAAGAGATACTAAAATTTTTGTGTTAAAAAATCCTAAACGACAAGAACCACACTTAAAGGAAGAGAATTTTTATTGACATCAAAAAAAAGAATAATAACAATTAAAGAAGAATACCAAACGAATTGTTATTATTCTTTAAAGTTTCGGATTCGAACACCAGCAATGTTAGGGGTACGAGCATTTAATCTCAAATAGTTTAGAGTTATCTTTAAACATATACTACATTGTACTTACCCCATATTAATAAATAAATAAATAAATAAAAAGATATGTGGAAACAACTTAATATATACCTCTAATATCTAGTATCTATTTATAGGATAGTTACTTGATTATGAAACTTACACAAAATAAATCCATTCAAACTAATTTTCTACTTTTAGTCAACAACTAATACTAGAAGTATGATTCAAATAGAATTTAGATCATAAAATGTTAAATAAAACTCTAATAGTATCCAACTTTACACAAATTCTACAAGTGTAAGGAGTTAAAAAAAACTCAAATTCAATAAAAAATCCAAACTAAAAAATAAAAAATTATATATCTTAATAAACAAGTTCTCCATCTTGATAGCATATTCTTCACATCTTCTATGAAACTTCTTAAAGATATTAATCAACAATGATTGTCAATCGATTCCGAGTCTTGCCCAAACTTAAACGTATAAGATAACTTAGTCTTCACGTCATCAAGGTGATCATACATGACAACTTTGTGATAGAATTTGTGTGAAGTGAGTGATTGTTATTTATTAATTCAAATTCTAATTGGTAATTAAGTTAAATATTATTGTAACTCTAATGGTTGAAGATTAATTAGTGATTGAGTTTATTTAAATAAGATTCTTATAGAGTAAGGATTCTCGGTAACTAAATTTATTTTCTCTATAAATATAAAGTATGTCTTAGCATTTAAAAGTACGAGAGAATTGTTTTAGATATATATAATCATTTAAAAGTATGAGGTATATATTGTATGTCTTGGGATACAAGAGAATTCTATGTATTTTTTCTTTATGATGTTTATGTTTATAGTTGATTTTTGTTTCTCTCATCTATTGAGGTAGATAAGATCAAACCATATTAAATCTCGTCTTTTGTGTGTCTTATTTTTGTTGATCTCAGATTATTTATTTTTTTACAAATTACTAACCATAATAATTTTTTAAATAGTCAAAAAATGAATATAAAATATATAGTCTTTGTTCAATTTTTTTTTTGTTTTTTACAATGCAAACACACCTTACAAATATAACTGTTCAAACTCGAAATTTTTAAGAAAAACAACACTCTTTTTACTATTAAGTTTGAGTTCTACTAAAAAAATGGCTGTCCCTTGTTCCCATATGTAATGGGGTAAGGGGGAGGTAAGATAGTAGGCTGCCCCCAACACTAGGTTGAGAGCAGCTTCCGTAGGAGACCTCCAAATTATGAAATGCCCTCCATGGGACTCGATCCCACGACCTCAAGGTTAAGAACCTTGTGCTCTACCAACTGAGCTAGATGGTCATTTCAATGTGAAGTAGTAAGAAAATTTTTAGTAGGCCATTTCAATAAAATTACATACAGGTAGTGGGACCACGGATTTAAGCATGGATTAGGGCAGTTAATTACTTGTTTCATGTCCGAAGATGGGAATTAATTAATGGGTTGATGTGGATGTTTTCATTGAGATTATCAAAATATTGTTAATTTGTGTTTTTTTAATTTAGAAAAACGACAAATTAGCACATGAAATTAGACTCCATGCGAGCACTTTGAAGAATCGTATGTATGAATCCTGGACATCTCAATTATTTGGGACGAATATAACAATGTTGACCATATATTCACATTATAATGTTTACCATTATAATGGGAAAGATGCATAACTCTTGTTCTTTGACATATGTGCATGTATTCCAAGTAACATATCCATGAGAATTTTTGTTTACAATTGGTTCAGTTGACATGAATTAAACGATTTTATTATAAAATGATTGAGAATTTTTCAAACATATAGATGATTAGGCAAAACGTACTTGCTCTCTCTTTTCTCCTACCTAATATCATAACAAAAAAAAAACACTATGAAGTTTTGTTCAGATTTATTTTCTTTTAAATTTTATTTATGTATATTTATTCCAAATGTGTCTGGATAAAAATAAATTCATATAGGTATAGGGTATGCAATAAATTTTTTAAATAAATCGTATGTCATTACATTATTTTATTTTTTATACTTATTTTTTCAAAAAATATTGAATTTTTCTATGATTTTTATTTTGAACATCTTAATCATTACTTGATTTTTATTTAATTTTATGAGTAACTATTATCTGATATTAATAAATAAAGTTGAAATATTTTTTGTTCATATTATATTTGTAATTTTTATTAATTTGAGCCTTAAAAATTTATAAATGTATATGATTAAAATTTTGTATCATTTAATTAATGATACTTTTATTTATTTTTAAATATTAAGAATTAAATTAATAAAATTTATAAATTAAACATATTAAAAAAAGTTTTTATTACTTTTATAATTGTTACATTAATAGATAACAATATAATTAAATAAAAATTAAAAATACATAATGGTAAAATTATCTCATAATGTATGATAATACGGTCACTTTGACTCGTATTCTTTTTTTAAGTAGTTCGGGCCCCATCGTTAGTTAATTAACTATCAATGTTTTCCGTTGGCTAGACAGATTTATGTGGACTAGAATGTTGATATGACATGTCCATGTCTCATGTCAATAATTTTATAAAAAATTAATTAATTATATGTAACTATATATATTCATGAAAATATGGCATCACCTCCCTAAACATCATCCTTTAATTTCATGTTATCTGTCACGTTACTAACCCCTCTCTCATTGTGATTCATGTTATCTGTCACGGTACTAACACCTCTCCCGTTGTAATCTCAGTCGGCACCTTGAATCCTTGATGGGGTTTCATGGTCTAAGTCGGGGTTCACCAATAAAAGTAAAAACATGAATAAGAAAACCAATAGTGTCGTAACCAAGTATAGAAACGATTAAATTTTTTAATGTCAAAGTTCATTAGAGAAAAATGGTTCAAAATAACATCAATAAATTTCGAAATCTTCTCACCTTCATTATCGAACAAAAAGGTCACTTAGTTTTATCATTGCTTCGTAGGAACTTGTATTCCTTGCTGTAATAAACAATGTCCTGACCCAAACTGAATTTCACATGGCTCACATCGATGGTAATCAGGGGTAGAACAAAGTCGAGACATATGGGGCCTATGCCCCCAAAATATAAAAAAAATAAATTCTAGACCTTTAAAATTAAAAAAAAAAAATTAATTTAAACTTCTAAATTTTTTAAAATTTTAAGTTGCTATCTCAAATTTGAAGTTTGTCTCTCAAATTCTATCACCAAATTGGTCTCTTAAATTCTATCAAAAAATTCCAACACTTGTAGTCTAATAATTGAGCAATCCTTTAAAGGACAACACAAATGTGCACTTGAAATGACCCACTTGGCAGTCCCCAAATTATCACGATAATGCATTTTCAACCCACTTTGTGTAGGCATTAGACCTTCAATGAGTTCGACTACTGCCATAATATAATTCTTAAAATTCAAACCGTCACTCTAATATCGACGATGAATATAACAAAGTCCACACTAACTTCTTGGACAATGCAACACAATTATAATAAGAATAGAATTCAATTGCACCTTTCATTTATAAAAGAATTCGACTATACTTGTAATCAATTTCATATTATGAGTTCTCATGTCGAAATTACAAGGCTAGCAATGTTTCATAGGTTGAAACTATTTTAGGAATGAATTACTATTTCTCAATACATATTTCTGGAAAAAAAATTATCCACTATATACACAGTTCTAAAAGTTGGAAACCCCCGTTTGCTTAAATAATGTTGTCATTAGAAGAAGGCACAACAACCCTCACTCACCCATTATTTTATGTATAGGTTTAGGCTTTGAGTGAGAAATGGATAGAAGAAACTTTGTTTATTATCCCCTCCCCTCTCCAATTCATCATCTCCTTCCCTTTCCCTTTCCCTTTCCCTTGTTTATTCAAATCCCAGACTGCTTCTTCCCCTTAAAATAAACGAATCCCTCTTGAACAGTTTTTCATCCAAATCCCATAAATTATTTAAAACTTCTTTATTTGCTTATTTTAATCCTTCGTTTTCCCTTGTTTTCTGTTGTCGTTTGATGCTGGCATGGCTGGTCTTGATTTAGGCACTGCTTCTCGCTACTTTCATCAGCTTCACAGACCCGACCTTCACCTCCAACACCAACCCGAACCCGAGGAACAAGAAGCTTCAAACAAAGGTCTTGGTGCTCACTATGGTTCAGCTGAACATCACCAGGACGATGGTTCACACCAAGGGCTGGATTTAGTCAACGCGGGCAACTCAGGTTCGGGTGAGGTCATGGCCCGTAGGGCGAGAGGTCGTCCTGCAGGTTCGAAGAACAAACCCAAGCCTCCGGTTATCATCACGCGGGAGAGTGCAAACACGCTACGAGCTCACATTCTTGAAGTTGGGAATGGCTGTGATGTATTCGACTGTGTCGCCAACTACGCTCGGAGAAGGCAAAGAGGAATCAGCATACTGAGTGGGAGTGGAACGGTGACCAACGTGAGCATTAGACAACCGGCTGCAGCTGGAACTGTGGTTACCCTTCATGGCAGATTCGAAATACTATCGCTTTCGGGTTCGTTTTTGCCGCCGCCAGCTCCTCCGGGTGCCACCAGCTTGACAATCTATTTGGCTGGCGGGCAAGGGCAGGTTGTAGGAGGGAGTGTAGTCGGGGAACTGATGACGGCAGGACCTGTTATTGTCATAGCTGCATCGTTTACAAATGTGGCCTACGAAAGGCTGCCTTTAGAAGAGGATGACGACCAGTTGCAGATGCAAAGCGGCGGCAGCGGTGGTGGGAATAATATGTTTGCGGATGCAGCAGTTGGCGCTGGAGGGTTACCTTTCTTGAATTTTCCGTCTAATGTGCAGTTACCCGTTGAAGGATGGGCAGGAAACTCCGGTGGTGGTGGTGGTAGGCCCCCGTTTTGAGTAAAAATGGGAGCTTTGGATGGGAAATTCAAGTCTGGATTCTTGGATCATAAAAGGTGAGGAAATTCATGAACAAGTTATAATCTCCGCCATCATCATGCTTCTTCTTCTACTTGCTCCACTGTTGAATGTTAATTCTAGTTTCCTTTTCACCCCTTTTGATCTTTCTTTTTCTGATTTCTGGGAATAGTCCTTTCTCGTGTTCATGGTATGATGATGTATAATTAATTAAGTATTTTTGGATGAATTTGTAGTGTTAGAAATAGGTGAACTAGGGTTTTAGCTTCCCAACAGATATATTCCTTTCCAAAGTAAATGTTGCAGGATTGGATTCGCTAACATTAACATGGGACTGTGTTCTGTTTGCATTGTTTTTAGGCACATAATAAATGAAACAGTGTAGTAAATGATTTAAGAGCCAACGTTACACTCATTTTTTTTCTAGGAAACTCTAAAATACAACTTATTATTATAAGGTTAAAATATGATAGAAATTGATTATAATTAAAAATCTTACCAATAATATAATTTTTTAGATTGAAGAGAACAATTTTTTAAGTTGGACAAGTTTCAACCGAAAATGTTATATTTTCAATTGTAAGTCTTAAATTCTCCTAATGTAACTTTCGATTACAACAAAAAAAAATTATATATTTTATAACTTTTAGGCTGAACATAAAAAACCATCTTAAATAAATTTTATAATTTTAAAGAACTACCCTCGTTTATGATGGGTGCATGTGTCAAGTTTTTGCTTTTGTGTTAGTGTTACCCACTTTTCTCGAGAATAGTTTTTTTCTTTTTTTTCTATTACAACAAAATCCTCTCTTCCAACTACATTAATCGTGAGAAAATTTAAGAATAATAGGGCTTCAAAAGCATTTTCCAAGCTAAATTATGGTGGTGCTTGATGCTGATTCCTTTCTTGCGTACCATCACTTTATCATCTTCATTAGTGGGTTTAATCTCATGGCACATATTGAACTCACACCTTAAAATATTTTTTTATAGTTATCGATATCTAATTTATTAATTAATTAAACCAAATTATACATCTCAGAGGTCTAATATAATTATATAAAAATGTTCCAGCGTCCAACTTAATTTATTTCATTCATAAGTATGGGATCTAGTTTACCTCATTTGCAAATTATATAAATCTTTATCTCCGCTTTAGTTTCCAGCACGAGGAAACAAAAATGCTGCTTCCCTTATGCCAACTATGCTTCAAATAAATTGTGCTTAATTTTCCCATAAAAACTTATAATTATGTTTATATAGTTATAAACAAGTAAGGATGATTCAAATTATCTATTATATCTACAAATATTGTTTTAATTGGATATAATATATTATATATTATTGGAGCTTATAATAAGAAATATAATAATGATGTATCTATAAAATATCCATCAAGCGATCTCAGTAGTAAAAGAGAATATTATTCTCTAGAGGTTCTAGGTTTGAACAATTACGTTTATAGGGTATATATAAGTTTTCAAATGGTTAAAAAAATTCTAAACAAATACTAATCACTACAATAAAAGTGTTCTGTAGCGGCGTTTTTAGCGGCATTTTAAGGGTAAATGCCACAACATTTAAGCATATCGCGGGATTTACTATCTAAACGCCACAAAATGATACTTTAGCGGCGTTTTTTAAACAAATGCCGCAATAGAGAGGTAATTTAGCGGCGTTTATAGCTAAAATGTCGCAATAGAGATGTTTATAGTGGCGTTTTTCAACAAACGCCGCAATAGAGTGGAAATTTAGAAACGCCGCGATAGTGTTGTTTATAGTGGCGTTTTTTCAACAAACGACACTATAGAGAAGTAATTTCGCGGCATTTATCAAACAAACGCCGCAATAGTATTGTTTATAGTGGCGTTTGTGCAAAAAAAACACCGCAATAGAGTAATAATATAGCGGCATTTGTCCTACAAACGTCGCAATATGTTGTTTATCGTGGCGTTTATATTAAAACGCCGCAAAAATATGCACTACAGTGGCGTTTTAAAAAAAAAACATCGCAAAAGGGTCAATATATGCTCTCCTATCCAATCCCTAAAATTATTTCAGCACTATTTCCCTAAAAGGGATTTCTCTGGTACAACAACAACCCTCACACGATTGCAGCCGACGTCGTCTTCTGTATGTCCCGACGACCAAATTTGCCCTCTCAGTAGCGAACAATTATCTCACGATTGCACGGTTTGATCCATTCTCTCACTACTGAACTTTTTTCATTTATTTTTTGTTGGTATTCTGAAAATGGGGAAAACCTAGAAAGCTAACGTAATGGAGAAATATAATAGCTTTTGAATAGGAAAAAGAATATCTATACATATTGTTTTACTGTTTACTGCTTGGGAGAAGTGTTTTTCTGCTTTCGAATAGAAAAATAATTGCTTTTGAAAACGTGACAAATGGTTGTGGTACAAAGAGCATGTGTTGCATTCAGTAAGAGAAATTATCGTCGGAATGTCTACGTGGCGTCTTTGATCTGACGATGGATCAAATTATCGTTGGGAGGCTATCAGTTCGAACTTGCCATCCAAATTCGATAATGACCCGAAAGACCCTCCTATTGCAAAACACCCTTCCATGTCCGATCTCCTAAATGAAGGTAATAATTAATCGCTGAAAGTTTGTGGCGCTAATTTTTTTTTACTATAAAATTTCATAGATCGCACGCATGTAGGATGTTCAAAGCTTATTGAGAACGATGATAGAGGAGTTGATAAATACCCGATGTTTAGAACTGAATTTGGTAACTCTGCGGCGTTGAAAGAATCTTCAATAGCAAAAGCAATATCTATCCTCAATGAAGAAGACGTTACCTCTACTGTTACTCCAAGTAAACCTTTATATCATCTATTTAATTTTTTTAATGTTTGATTATATTTTCAAGCCACCTCTAATCAAGTTTCATATTTTAGGTGGAAGGTCGTTATCTGTTTCAAGTGAAGCACTGAAGAGCGCTTGGAGTCTTCTTGGTGAACTGGAGGTAGGAGATTTATTTGGTGAAATGGATGAAGAGTTTCTCCATATAGAGTTTTCACGGAGGAAAAACTTAACGATGCGTGGTCAAACAAGGAAAACAACTTTTTTACGTCCTTTCCCCACGAAGGAGCAATGAAGACTAAATTCTAGCGAACAATATTGTTAAGACTGTTTATGCATAACTTTAATGTTGGAGTGGATTTTAATGTATTTTGTTGTTAAGTAATTGTAAGCATAATGAGTGCCTTAATTAAAATATATGGTTGTTGTTAATTACATTAAGCGTTATGATAGTAAATTAAGTTTATGTACAGAAGAAATGAAATATATAAAATCAATTAATCTCATATAAATAAAGGTAATTAGCGACGTTTGTATAAAAAAAACGCAGCAATATGTTCATTCATAGTGGCGTTTTTCCAACAAACGCCGTTTCAAGGATAATGATTTAGCGGTGTAAACGCCGCAATATAATAGAACTATAGCGGCGTTGTTATTAAAATGGCGCTATATAGGGTTACTTTAGTGGCATTTTTAAACAAAAAACGCCGCTAAATATTTGGACATTAGTGGCATTTTTATACAAACATGACAATAGATTTAATATTTAGTGGCGTTTTTAAGAAAACGCCGCTATAGAGGCTTAAGTTAGTGGCGTTTTGAAACACAAACGCCGCGCAACATTTGGACAGTAGTGGCGTTTTTTAAGTAAACGCAGCGATAGAGTGCAACTATAGTAGCGTTTGGATTACAAATGCCGCAACTTTCTATAAAACCCCCAAATTTTGCGACTGAGCCTTAGCCCTATTCTCTTCATCGTATTATTGCCCAATCAGTTGCTCATTTTCCTCCATCAACCCTTACATCGGTTCTCCACCATCGGCGACAGTCACAAAGGTAAGAACATCTTCCTTCACCATCGACCTTTTGGCTCTTATTTCTTTATTTCTCAGCGTTATTCCCCCTTTGGTTTGATTTCTTCGCAGCATTTCGTTTTGATTCATTTTGATAGCACTAAATTTCTATTCCAATTTTCTGCTTATTTCTTCATTTTGATTCAATGGGCATTGTTCCTTTAATGCATTTTTAGAACCCATGTCCCGAAAAGTTGAATAATTTGATTTAATTGAAGCACCGTGCACACTGGGTCTTTGTATTTTCTGCAATTTGTCCATTGTTTAAAATATTTTCTGTAATTCGTCTTTATTGCAGAGGAATTACTCTACATTGCCATTGAAGAGTTTGGTAAAATCAGTGTTAATCACGGCTGGACATTCTTCAAGGGTACATTCATTATCACTCTGCGTTTTTTCCTTTTTTTTGTACATTCATATGTATTTTGAGTTAATTTCATGACATCATTTCTGAACTATTATTTTAATTTCATGAGATCATTTCTGAACTAAAAACACAGCTTCGTTGTAGACTATACTAAGCACTAGCATACAACCAACAAATCAAAAACTAATGTTTACTACTTGTGTATTATACCTTGAAGAACGAATGTTGGAATCTTAAAAACTAATGTTTTTAAGACAAATGCCACTAAATATTGGTACCTATTGCGGCGTTTATATCGTTACCTACTGTGGCGTTTTTGGTTAACAAACGCCGCAAACTTTAGCGGCGCATTTTGCGGCGTTTTTCATAATGCCGCATGTGTTTTTTGCGGCGCTTAAAAACGCCGCTATAGGTAAAAAAAAACGCCGCAAAAAGCCAGTTTTTCTATAGTGAATACATTATGATTTCCCTAATATCTTTACTAAACTTAAAATCATTATCTTTTCTTAATTACAGTTTGAACCAAAATTTTACACTGATTATATTAAAAATAGAACAAACATGATGGTGAAACTTTTTATTATAAGGAGAGCTGACCCGACCAAGTCCTTGATTTACATTACAATTTTTTATTCTAACTTGTCTCCTTTATTATTTCATTATTCCAACAAGAAATTTCCTCATCGTTTGATTAAGTTCAATAGAAGGAGGATACTCCTAACCTAGTTTGTTCTATTTATAAAACTTGAGATTCGAACTTCTGACATTGTTTAAAGAATCTAGTATCTCATCTCACTAGAACAACTTTGTCCAGTTTTCTCCATTCATAAACACTGAAATTTGAATTTCTGATCTTGCTTTAAGGATCTAATGTTTCATCCCACTAGATCAACTTTATCTTAATTGTTTCCAACAACTTTGTTGTGTTCTTTGTCTTAATTGTTTTTATTGAATGACTTTGATTAATGATGCTCAAAATGCATAAAATAACAAATACTAATTATCAAATTTAATTTAAATAAATAAGACAATATAATACTGATCTAAGAAGAAAAAACATTTCTCTAAAAAATTTGACATCTAACTATCTAAGTGTTATGTAATAAAATGCAACAAATTGATGCCCAAGCCTAAAGTCCTCAACTGGTAATTCAGAAAGCAGCATCCTCATTGTTGAGTGTGGCCGGTCCAATGTGAGTTCATTTGAACATCGTTATTAAGCATAGATGGAGGAACCGAGTTGTTATAAAACTCGGACCCTCCATTAAGTGCGCTACCACCTTTTTCACCCGAGGACTCACTTGAGCCAGCATGCAGAGGAGAGCTACCTGCGGTCCCTGGTGCCCCGAAGTTCTGCATATTCGGTGTTGGTATGAAAGAAGGTTCAGTTCTTAGAACATCTAGGTTCTGTTTTTTCACATCCGCAATGAAGCTGCCAACAATGACCTGAAAGGAGATAGAAAACAGTCATGAAATAAGAAAGAAAAACATTGATGTCATGCCATGAGAAGAGACTCCCTTGATCCCCAGTTGCATGGTGTCTCAGATGCAAATGTTTAAACAGAATCAAGCCTCTAACCTAAACTACTTTGGCTTCTTGAATGCGAATGCAGCTTATGAGAAACAAATATAAACACAAAATAAGAATCAAATATACTTGAACTGGTGTTACTGCCCGTAGTATGCCTGCAACTCCACCACCTACTACTCGTCCATCAGGCCCAACTAACGAGACATTTAATCCACCAGACCTGCTACAACTACCATTATTTTCGGAAACCAAGAACGAACCTGATAAAGAAATTATTTCAAGTCGGCCCTGCAATTAAGAAGAATTATGTAACTAAATTGTGCATAATTTGATAAAGTAATTACGATTCAAACTGCTAAAGTTTCATGAACCACTTTGGTTTGACAAACCTTTAATGTGTCTACAGCCATGTAGTGCTGAGATTTCAGCTGGTCCCATTAGCTATCAGAAAGTAAACTCACTGACAACCTATACATGCCAATTATCTAACTTTAACTTCTTACTTGATCTCATTCTCGGATCAACCTCATTTTACTAGCTAGTATAAATGAATTGTCAAGAATTCAACTATAAACTAGAAGTAAATACAAGATGAGTCACTCAATATCACCTCATATAGGTTTGTGTTGTTTTCTGGTAAATGGTACATGTAATCACATGCATGTGTCTATGTATATTGTTTGTAGTGCATGTGCTTTAAGCTTATGGTTCGTTAGCTTTCCTCCGAATGGTAGCAGTAAGCTTTGTTCTTGGTTTTGTAAGATCGTTAATATTGCTGCTGCTATCATTAAATCACTAGTAATGATACCCCTTTTACTTGAAACGGAATTTCGGCTCTAAGCCTAATCATTTAGAAGAACAAGTTCATCTAACACAACCACACATCAAAAGAGCCAACTAGCAACAAAAAACAAAAAAATACATCTTTTTGTGTACGGGCATTGTGCGTACATACACAAACATAGAGAGGCAGGGAATGCCTTTATATATTAAAGTCCAGAAAGTTCATACTTCAGCAGCCCTACTCCTACCAAAGCCAAGGTTCCGAGCCGATGATTATATTCGAGATAAAGCTTATTTAATCAGAAGGATCTCTTATTAACAAAAGTTACCTCATATTTTTCCATACCACCAGGCTGGCCAAGTGTAACATCACAGACAGCACCATTTGCAGAGAGAACACAGACTGTGCACTGTCCTTGCTGTGAAAAAGCCGTAATCTTTGATGCTACATCCTGCAAATGTAACGATCACACTATAGCACATTATAAATTAATGTAAAGGTCATGCGATAAGGCACATTATGAATCAAGGTTCAAGAATTAAAACATGAGCATACAAAACGCGCGCGAATAGTATTGCACTTTTATTGGCAGGCAATACTATCGAAGGCAGATAAACAAAGAATTATCTCCATCAATGAATCTTTGAAACAACACATAAAAGGATAAATATGCCATGACTCGAGCTAGGATAGAAATGCTCTACACAATATACATTTCCAAACTCAGCATTTAGATAGAGTGTGCAAAGTGCAGAGACTGAATTAGATCTAAATTCCCTCAAGGAGCTCTGCTTAGCAATTATTTTACACTATAATATAAATGAATATAAGAAACATTTGAAGACTGAATATAAGATAAATGAATCACCATCTCCAAGTATAAATCCTTTAAGTCTAAGAAACATAATATTTCTCAAATTCCATCTAAAACAACAATCAGTATTAAGTTTATATATTACTCACCTCACCGGCGTTCACAGTGATCACATGAGGAGTAAATTCCATCCCTGAAACTCCACCTAGTCCAAGAAACAAAAGCAAAAAATTTAAACATCAAATTATGACAGAAAAAGGGGGGGGGGGAAGACTATAACTTTGACAATTCAACTGTTATAATTACCTAATGCATCGATCTGTCCTTTTCCAGAACCTGGTGGCCTTCCGCGATTCCTTCTAGGAGGCTGTTCCACCGCAGCACCAACACTTCCCAAACCGAAAGAGTCACTACCACCACCGTGATTGGCGGAGTGAGTAGCAATTGGGGTGGTGGGTGCCAATTGTAAAGCAATGTCACCGTCGGAAGCATATTTCCTAGGCCTACCTCGCTTCTTTCTCATGGTACCGGGTTCCGCGTTGTACTGAAATTGAGGCGATCCATCGAACCCAAGGGAGTTCAAAGAATCGAACGGCCTGAGTTGCTGTTGATTCTGATTATGAAACTGTTGCAAATGGTACTGATTATGAGACGGCGGTAAAGCCAAGTGGTTGAAAGAGAAACAATGAGCTGAAGAAGGAGGAATATTGGCGGTGAGATTAGAGGTGACGAAGGTGGAGTTGGAAGGGTAGGATGAAGATGTTGGTCCTATAACCATGGGCTGTGCTTGTTGGGGCTGAAATCCCATTCCTGCAGATGCCTGAGCTTGTACTTCTCTCGACTCCATTGTTATTATTCAAAGAATCAAGTTTTAATCTTTGTTTGTTCTGAGTTGCATATAAAAAGAAGGAAGGAGAAGTGTAATTCAACTGAAATTGCGAACAAATGTTGGATAAAATAACTCAAAAGGAGTTAAAAGTTTAAGAGTTGTACGAGTTATCTACTATCTCAACTGCTGAAGTGGACATGGGAAGAGTACAACTGAAATTAAAAAAGCATAAACTACATTGGTAGTCATTAAACTTTTAGTACACTTTCAATTTGGTTACTTAACTTTTAAAACTTGTAATTATGTCATTAAACTTTTAATTCCCTTTCATTATGATCTCTTTCGTTAGCTTTCATTAAAAAATGTGTTGAAGTTTCATATTAAAATTTTCTTTAAAAATCCTAATTATCTAAACTGGTATCCATTGCAAAAGCACAATTTTCGGTGAATAAAATAATTATCAATTAATTATAACGATGGGAAAACTCTATTTTATTATAAAATTAATATATTCGAGTTTCAAGTTGATATGATAATTCACTGTAGAGAATTGAACATATTTAACCTTTAATTTTTATTAGATAATAGTCTCATTTTATCATTGTTTTTGTCAATTTTAGATGATTTCTTTGGTCGAAAAGAACACTACACTTCTCTTTTTCTTTTGCTCTTTCTTTGTTTTAGATCAAACTCTTCCTATAACCTTCTAATCTCCGCACATCCTAATTGAAATTAAAGTCATAATTTTTTTATTCACCATTGTTACTGTCGAATAATCTTGAAACTAAATTATGTTAATCTTATTACTGAATAGATCCTTGTGATTATTGGAGTTAATTGATGATCATTCTATTCATAAAAAATTGATCTTTTGCAATGATTACAAATTTAGAATCTTAGATCTTTCTTTTTTGAAGAAGATTTTAATGTTTCACATTATTTCTTAACGGTTGTTAATAAAATAACCATAATGAAAGTGAATTATAAATTCAATGAATATAATGAAAATATTAAAGGTTTGGTCACCAAAGTGAATGCACTCTAAAAATTTAATGACGGCTAATATAATTTAGGGTAAAGTGCATAAATAGTCCCTCGACTATAGGGTGATACTTTGTTGAGTCCCTCGACTATTAAAAGTTATAAAATAATTCTTCGACTATAGGATATTGTTTTGTTGATACCCCAACTATTAAAAGTTACAAAATAATCACACAATTATTCAGTATGTTTCAAACTCGTTTTTGTTGTTGAAAAATAGACAACAATCTAAGTTGGATGTTAATCTATTGAATGAGATATGATAGTTTATTTAGATTATGGGATCAGATTTCTTAACGAAAAAGAATGAGTTTGGAACATACAATATAATCAGGTGACTATTTTGTAATTTTAATAGTTGGGGACTCAACAAAGTAACACCCTATAATCGAATGATCATTTTGTAACTTTAATAGCCGAGGGATTAAACAAAGCATCACCCTATAATCGGGAGACCATTTGTAAAATTTACCCTATAATTTACACTAAACCCCCCATTTTGCTTTAAACGAATACTATAGCTTTCCAAATCATCCCAAATTCTAAGTAGGGTTTTGTTTAGGTTTTTTTTCTTTTAAATTTTGTTTAGGGTTTTTAATTACTTTTTGTAACTACACTTTATTAGCCCTTAAATTTTATCGTGGGGAGTCATCAATGTGAAGATTATCAATAAGGGTGTTTGCGGTCGGTTTGGATCGATTTTTGGCTAAAAATTCATTCGATCCGAAAATATAAATGTTTGCAGTTTAGATGTTTCTAAAAAAATCCGATTCAATTAAGTGCGGCTTGATTCGGTTTGGATTTGTGCGGTTTTTGGATTCTAATTTTTCAAAATAATTCTTGAATTTTTTCATAAAAACAACAACATATGTATGACAAAAGCAAAGAGAATATATATTTTAACAAATGCAAGCATGTGAAGCTTACAAAGAGAATATATATTTTAACAAATCAATAAACGAATCAGTTTCTCGTCAATAAGTCACCCATAAAAGTAAAACGACACATTTTTTAAATTTTGCCCGACAATTTTCTCTACCTCAGAACTGAGGAAATACCAAAAGACTATACTATCATTCTTTGCTATTATCATTCATTGCTCCATTTTTTTTCATTGGCATCGATGACTAGAATTTGGAGCAAAATTGTTACGTGCGTGTCGAGGAAAGCTGAATATGTATATGGGTTTTGTGAGATTTTGTGAGGCTTTTGATGAGTTTGTTTCAAGCTTGTAAACTCAATATTTCATTTCATCGGTTCGGTTCGGTTTGGATCGGTTCTGGATTTTCAAACCAAAACCGAACCGATCGGTTTAAAAAAAACAAACATACTAAATCTCCGTTAAGTATACAATTCGTAAAAAGTAATTTTATTTTTAGTTTGTAAATTCAATATTTCATTTCATCGGTTCAGTTCGGTTTGGATCGGTTCCGGATTTTAAAACCAAAATCGATCCGATCAGTTAAAAAAAAAACCAAACATACTAAATCTCCGTTAAGTATACAATTCGTAAAAAGTAATTTTATTTTTATCTTTAATTAAGATTTTAATTTTATTTTTAATTAAACTATCAATTAATATTTTATTTAAAAATTGTTTATATCCAAAAATATTTTTGAACCTATGAAAAATGGTCAAAATTATAGAACTTTTATTTATTATTCGATGATTTGTTTATTTTAAAAAATAAAAATTTATTTTTTTTATGAAAATATAATAATAAAATCAAGAATTTTTCTTTAATTAATCTGAGGTAAGTCTAGGCATTTATGGTGCACGAATTCGGACCTTAAAGAATAATAATAATTAGAGAAAATAACTTCAGTGACCAAAAATGCCTTATAATATACGATTTTAACCAATTTTTTTTTGATTTGCCAAAATGACCAACTAAATCGCAATGCGATCGATAATTCGCAACACGATCTCCGGTATCGCAAATCAGTTTCCAGATTCGCAACGCGATTCTGACTATCGCATTGCGATTTTCCAAATTCGCGTTGCGATTTTCCGACTATCGCAATGCGAATATGTAAATCGCAATGCGAGTATGACTATCGTAACGCGATTCTGACTATCACAACGAGATTCTGACTATCGCAACGCGATTCTGACTGCCGCAACGCGATGCTGACTATCGCAAGCGCCATTATTATCGCAACACGAAAATGACTATCGCAACGCGAATTTGACTATCGCAACGCGAAATGAAAATCGCAACGCGAAACTAAAATCGCATTGCGATTCTGTCGTTGAGATTTTCATTTCGCGTTGTGATTCTCGGTTTCAAATACTAAAATTGAAACTTGAATAGATTGCATTACTTCAACCAAAAGACAAAACAAAGACTAAATTCACAGGGTTTAAAGACTAAACAGTTTAGCAGTATTAACAACAATCGAATGAATTTAATAAGCAATTTAAATGAAATGGTTAATCTATTATTGAAATTACCAATAAACTTATCATCAATTTCAATATGAAAAACCTAATAATAATGCAAAAATTTCAAAATAAAAATAATTAAAAAAATTAACTCTCGGTGGTTGATTTGGTTGATTTTCCATTTCTGACCGTGAATGATTGTGAGGGTGGCTCTGAGAGATGGAGATAGACATATTTCGCCGGAGATGGGGACATATGTCGCCTTAGAGAGTGAGAGATGGAGATGGGATTGAGTTGTGATTTAGGGTTTTAGGTTATGAGTTGCGATTACGGGATATACTGTGGACAGTTCAGTGTTCCGATATATTAATATTCGTGTTTGGAATTTGAAAAAAATACGCGTTGCGATAATAATGGCGCTTTGAAAATCGCATTGCGATAGTCAGCATCGCGTTGTGACAGTCAGAATCGCGTTGCGATAGTCAAAATTTCGTTGCGATAGTCAGAATCGCGTTGCGATAGTCATACTCGCATTGCGATTTACATATTCGCATTGCGATAGTCGGAAAATCGCAACGCGAATTTGGAAAATCGCAATGCGATAGTCAAAATCGCGTTGTGAATCTGGAAACTGATTTGCAATACCGGAGATCGCGTTGCGAATTATCGATCGCATTGCGATTTAGTTGGTCATTTTGGCAAATCCAAAAAAAATTGGTTAAAATCGTATAGTATAAGACATTTTTTGTCACTGAGGTTATTTTCTCTAATAATTATTTTACCACCAAGGTCGTTTAGTTCATGCTAATACTAAGAAATTTTAAATATCATTTAAGTGTATATTTTTAAATTGAGTTAATTACATCATATATCCTCAAACTATAGGTCTCATTTTAAATTGATCCTTAAACTTTTAAATATTCCAATTTTATCCTCAAACTATAACTCTCATTCTAATTAGTCCTTAAACTTTTGAACATTCTAATTTCATTCCTAGACTATGATCCTCTTTCAAAATTGGTCCCCAAACTTTTGAATATTCTAATTTTTCCCCCAAATTCATCCATCATAATTTAACATAAAATTTGTTTTTTACAAACATATAATATTATAACTTGGCCTAATAATTTTTATTAACAATGGATGTGATTAGTACATAAGTACAATTTGGATAAAATTGGATTGTTCAAAAAGTTTGGGGGCGATTTAGAATGAAGGTCATAGTTTAGGGATAAAATTGAAATTTTAAAAAGTTCGAGGACTAATTTAAAATGATAGTCATAGTTAAGGATGAAATTAGGGCACTTAAAAGTTTATGAACCAAATTAAAATGAAGGTCATATTTTAAGAACATGTGATACATTTAACTCTTTTAAGTTTAACATCATATCTCATATAGTTATTTATCTTCTTAAAAGTAAATTTACCAAATACTTAAATCTTAAACTAAATATTTTAAAAGTAGTTCTTATTACACTTTTAAAAAATAATACTGAATGAATCCAAACATTGAAGGCATAGGCAGGGCCGTGCACCATTAAGCATTCATTTTCACAACCTAACCGGATTACTTGGTTCAAATAGCTCTATGAAACTAACATAGCTTGGTAGTAAGGAAAAAAAAACTAT